CCAACACTTGAGTTCTGTACAACTTTCGTGATTCCAAGCCATTGAATGCAAATCAAGGTGATAAGCTGAAACATTCACAGCTAGCCCCAGCAAACAAAAGTCCTTTGTCCCACCCTGGTCATTCCACAGATATATAAACCCATTTTTCCTAGTCCCAACAGACCTCATTACCTCTGAGGATGCTTGCCATAGATGCAGGCAAAACGTCAGGAGAAAAATTGCCTCCAGAACATGGCCATATAGCCCAGAAAAACCTACAACAACCCAACTTTCGTGATGTTGGTATTATTTTTTAACCAGTGTTCTGGCAACATCCAGCAGGTGGCTCTGTTGGCGCAATAAATTGTAATGCCTTCTATCAGTGTAATGGTATATAAAGACTAGCTGTGCCCTGCCATGTGTTGCTGTGGCCTATAGTAAGAATTTTTGAAGTAGAGGTATCTGTCTGGAGTATTATGAAAAAGAAGTACCTACCTATTCCCCCTTTTCCTCCCCCTTCCCCTCCTTTCTTCCTTCTCTACCTCTTTCTTTCATTCCTTCTTTCACTCTTTTGTTTCATCCTTTCTTCTCTCCTTCCTTCCCTCCCCCTTTCTCTACTTCTTTTGTCTCCTTTCTTCCCTCCCCGTTTCCTTCCTTCTTTCACTTTTTAATTCCTTTTCTCCTTCCTTCCTTCCTTCCTTCTTTACCTCTTTCCTGCCTTTCCTTCCCTTTTTCCCTTTCTGCTTTCTCTTCTTCCTTCGGTACCTCTTTCTTTTCTTCCTTCTCTCCTTCCTTCTCTCCTTCCTTCCCTCCCTCTTTCTTTCCCTCCCTCCTTCTCTCTTTCTTTCCTTCTCCGTTTTCCTCCTTCATTCCTTCCCTTTTTTCCTCCCTCCTTTCTTCTCTCCTTCCTTCCTGTCTGTTCTCCCCCAATACCATGGTAGATTGAGTCATAGCCCTTTTGGTACTAATGTTGGAGAGTGGTCCCTGGTCAAAAGAAAGTTGGGAACCACTGATTTAATTAAAAGGATGCCATGGCAGAATGCCTTGGCCAGCAATTTGGCACATTATTCACTTGGTTATTATTGTATTTTTACTGCTGTGGTTGGGAAGAAGTACCTATGGGATCACAAAAGGCCAGCAATTTGGCACATTATTTACTTGGTTATGGTCACATTTTCACTGCTGAGGATGGAAAGAAGTGCCTATGGGATTTTCTGCCTCAGGTGCCAACATTACCTGGTCTAGATTTAGAGATTATGGACCTCAGTCTGAAGGAATGATGGATTTCAAGAAAGTAGAGGACCAAAAAGAACTATTTTTCTGACGAGTGAGGCACTGAAGAATTGAGTCCCCTTCGGGGTAGAGAAAGATGGGGTATAAACAGGGTAAATAAATAAAATAATAAATATAGGTTGCATATACAACCACTCTAATAGGGTCAGATAGGTTCAGATTCCAAATTTCTTCATGGCCCATCCGCACATGACTATACATAAAAATTGGACATATGTTCTCAGGAACAATTTTGAGTTTAGTATTTCATGATAGACCCTTACAGTTAAGGATTCTGTCTAATTCCTCCATAGCTTATCTTCCAATCGATCTTCTTCTGGTTTCTTGATTTTTTTTTACTAAGTCAAGCTATGGAACATCTTTATTTTAATGTTTGCATCATCTATGTTAAAGTGTAGCTAGATTATTTTTGTTCTCCTGTGTTCAAGTCTAACCCTGGCATTATACTTTCTTCCTTGACTCTGTTTCTTGTCTTTGCCGTTTTCTCGTCTTTGCAAAGATTTCTTGTTTTTGCCGTTTCCAGCTTGTAGTATGCTGTCATCTACATATGTTAACATGTTGATGTTTGTACCTCCAATGTGCATGCTTTCTTCTTTCATGTCTATTCCAGTTTTACATATACTTTCAGCGTGCAAGTTAAACAGATACGGTGACAGCATGTGCCTTGTCTAACTCCTTTGCCTATGGAAAGCGTTCTGTTTATATTGACCAAATTAATCACCTTTAAAAATAAACTTTGCAATCTTTTGAAAACAGATAACAGTCTCACTCCTAAATTAGAGCAATGTGGCCAAGGCAGGGGAGATAGCATGTTACCTGGCTAATAAAGGTAGAGAAATCTGAAGTCAAATGTCCTACCTTTCTGTTTTTCCCAATGAGAATAATGGAAATAGTGATACCTATGGCTCATTATTTTAGAATGAGTACTATGTTACTTCTAAGTGGCTGTCATTGGAACTCACACCGTTGTATGGAAGCACTTTAATAACAAATGACTCATGTTGTCCTTTTCCGGTATGAAGATCCTCCAGTGTGGCTTGGCTAGTTGTACTCAATTATTTCACCACAACATAATGTAACTTTGTCAACAGCATCCTTTGTATCACACAGACAAACTATGCTCTTCTTTTCTGTTACATAATTGGTGTTAGGACTCATCCTCTATGAGCTGGATCTTTTTAGAACTGGCCATAACGTTCCACTAAATCCTTTTCATTGTGTTGTGCTTAGCGCTTCTGTTATTGCAAATACATGGACGGTGAGCAGCTAATGAAGTCATAATGCATTTTTTTTTAAAAAAAAATCTCGTTCTGTTATCAGGTATTTCAAAGTTGGATGAAGACCTGATTGTCTGGGGAGATTTTTTTTTTTTTGTCGTGTCTGGAGTGACTTGAGAAACTGCAAGTCGCTTCTGGTGTGAGAGAATTGGTCGTCTGCAAGGACGTTGCCCAGGGGACGCCCGGATGATTTGATGTTTTTATCATCCTTGTGGGAGGCTTCACTCATGTCCCGGCATGAGGAGCTGGAGTTGATAGAGGGAGCTCATCCGCCTCTCCCCAGATTCGAACCTGCGACCTGTCGGTCTTCAGTCCTGCCGGCACAGGGGTTTAACCCACTGCGCCACCGGGGAGATATAAGGGGTGTATTTTCAAAACGCTTCTCCCTTGCACGCACGCACAAGCACATCCTTGATGTTTGTGGATATTATCTTCTGTTAGGTTATATCCTTAATAACAACAACAATAATAATATCCTTCTGAAGTATAGTTTACAGATAGGCTGTGTAAATGTATCCTCTATGCCCTTCTAAGTCAGCCAGAGCCTTATAGATGTCAAGCTTATTTATTTATTTTACTAGTTTATTTATTTCCCGCTTTATCTCCCCATACGGACACTCAAAGCGGCTCACAATTAAAAATATTACAATACAACTTAAACTTTACTAATATACAATAATAAAACAGTATTATAATTATAGATTGTTATATTATCAGCAGTATTATATTTATTTAATATATTAGTATTATTATGGGGTTGTGGTGGCGCAGCGGATTAAACCGCTAAACTGCAGAACTTGCTGACCAGAAGGTCAGCAGTTTGAATCCATAGGAGTGAGCTCCTGTTGTTAGCTACAGCTTCTGCCAACCGAGCAGTTAAAAAACGGGAGAGAACATAATGGTACTCCATGCAGCCATATCAGTGACCAGATTACCTTGGAGGCGTCTACAGACAACGTCGGCTCTTCAGCTTAGAAATGGAGATGAGCACCCCCCCCCCCCAGAGTCGGACACGACTAAACTTAATGTCTACCTTAGTATTATTATATTACAATATTATTATATATTATTAGTATTATACTGTATTACATTATTATATTATACTAGCCGTCCCCTGCCATGCGTTGCTGTGGCCCACTCTGGTGGTCATGGGGGTTCTGTGTGGGAGGTTGGCCTAATTCTATTGTTGGTGGGGTTCAGAATGCTCTGTGATTGTAGGTGAACTATAAATCCCAGCAACTACAACTACCAAATGTCAAGATTCTATTTTCCCCAAACTCCACCAGTGTTCACATTTAGGCATATTGAATATTTGTGTATGGTCCAGATCCATCATGTAGGTGAACTACAATTCCAAAACCAAAGGATACTACCCACCAAACCCTTCCAGTATTTTCTGTTGGTCATGGGAGAACTGGGAGAACTGTGTGCCAAGTTTGGTTCAATTCCATCGTTGGTGGGGTTCAGAATGCTCTTTGATTGTAGGTGAACTATAAATCTCAGCAACTACAACTCACAAATGACAAAATCATAATTTTTTGAGTGATGGTCACTCCTTGTGTTGTGAGACATTTTGTTGCCAAATTTGGTGTGTTTTCGTTCATTGGTTCTTTTGTTATTAAGGTAATCATTATGCACAGAGCATTTATATATATATAGATTATTATTATACCACAATACATAGAACACACTATTAGTATATTATGCTATTAGTATTATATAATACATTGTACCATATCATAAGTTGAAGTATATATAATATATAATGTATTATATCACATTATTAATTTTATATATTAGTATTATTATATTACAATGTTATTATTTGTATTATTATATAGAAATATATAATAAATACATAATAAACACTCATCACTTACATTACTCATTTATATGATTCATCTATATATTATTATATAAAATATATACTAGATAAATATATAATAGGTATACACTCATCACTTATAATTCAGTGATTTTGCAGATCTTGCTATATCTGCATTTGAATGTTGATTCTCTGGTTTGGACATTTGATATGTGTATCTCATAGTGTGGACTGTATGCTAATCAATGCTGATGTGGTCCTCATTAATATCAAAGCAACTGGCTTTGTTTACTTTCATGTTTCTTTTCCTTTTTTTTCTAACTCTAAGGACTTTATCACACACAGAGAAGAAAATGCCTGTTAAGTAGGGATCCATAAAGAAGGCTAGATGAGGAATGAATGCATACCCACCCCATTTCACCTGGTTCTCTCCTTTCCATATCTAATACAATTAATGTGCCTTTGACTTTATCCACAAGGCCAAGGGATGACTCCTCCCAATCCATCCAGGTGCCCCCCCCCCCGTCACTGAGAGTGCTTTTGTTTTATTAGATCTTGTGTAACTCCATTCTTTTTTCCCAACAGAAACGTTCAACCATTTTTTTTGTTACAACAAAATGATGCAGTTTTGAAATTTTAATTATTATTTTATTTTTAAAAAACGAAACAATTGAGGGATAGCAGGAAACATGTATGGCTTTCTTTCTTTGGCTGCCACCGAAAGTGTACTACCAGAGATTTCAGCAAAGGAGAACCAAACAGGATGACAAAACCGCCTCTAAAACACACCCTGAAAGATAGATCACTATTTAAAAGGATCTAGACCAGGCATAGGCCAACTTTGGACATCCCTCCAGTTGTTTTGGACTTCATCTCCCAATTTGGACTTCAACTCCCAATTGTGGGAGTTGAAGTCCAAAACAACTGGGGGGAGGGACAAAGTTGGCCTACACCTGATCTAGATCTAGGTACAGCCAAACACTCACATCAGCCTTTTAGGATCGATTTTTTCTAAGTGAACTAAAGGCTTGAGCTGCTCAGCAAAACTCCTCATGTCATCTGAAACCATGTCTTGTCCTGCTGGTGCCACAATGCTGAGCTCCACAAGGTAGGAAAGAGACAAGGGCTCAATGTTGTCAGTATTTCCTGGGATCAAGATGCGGAAGATCTTATACACCACAATCTTCATTATGCCCTTGCGAAACATGTGCCCCTTGGCAACGAATTCGTGGTCCATGCGGAACCCCATTTCCACCAGGAAGTCTGTCAAATTCTCAGAAGTGGCAATGTCAACACAGTTGCGTACCAAGGCATGGCGGTTCTTGTCTCCCATTTCTGGCTGGCCAAGGTACCGCAGGTGCCAAGGAGCACCGGGCTTGTCCATGGAGCGCCGTGTGCGGAGGACAAAGGGGCTGGCCTGCTGGCCCTTCAGGAGGAAGACCATTTCATGATCCAAAAAAGTCTCGGGTTCCATGTTGTCGCAAAGGCCACGGAGCCGATGGAGGAGGCTCTCCAAGCTCTGGTCCAAAACACTCCCTTGAAAAAGCAGGAGGGACAAGTCACACAAACTGAATAAATAATCATCCCACCAGCAAAAACAGATCATTAGGATTCCTGTCCTAACAGACTCGCTAGGTTACTGAAGCATTCTCTCCTAACATTTTGCCTGCATCTGTGGAAGGCACCATCAGAAGTTGTGAGGTCAGCTGGAAACTAGGCAAGTGGGGTTTAGATATCTGTGTAATGTCCAGGATGGGAGAAAGAACTCTGGCCTGCCACAAACAAACAAACAAACAAACAAACAAACAAACAAACAGACAGACAGACAGACAGACAGACAAGAGTTCTTTCTCCCATCGTGGACATTCCAGAGATACATAAACCCCACTTGCCTAGTTTCCAACAGCTCTCACAACCTCTGAGGATGCCTACCATAGATGCGGGTGAAACATCAGGAGATAATTCTTCTGGAACATGGCCATACAGCCTCAAAAACTCACAGCAACCAAGTGATTCTGACCATGAAAGCCTTCGACAATACATAGACCCAACTAGGGTTTAAAAGATGCAAAGCTGAAAATACTGTATTTACTCAAATGTAATGCACATTTTTTGGCTTAATTGCTTAGCCAAAATGTTGAGGAGGATGAATAATATCACAATATTATGGAGAAAAGGATGAATAATATTACTGATTCATCTTGGTGGACAAAGTTGACAATGATCATTTAATGTATTGTCGAAGGCTTTCATGGCTGGAATCACTGGGTTGTTGTAGGTTTTTTGGGCTAGATGGCCATGTTCTAGAAGCATTCTCTCCTTGGGGTCCCCCAATGTTTTTGGCCTACAACTCCCAGAAATCCCAGCCAGTTTACCAGCTGTTAGGATTTCTGGGAGTTGAAGGCCAAAAACATCTGGGGACCCCAGTTGAGAACCACTGCTCTAAGGTCTTTTTTTTTTTTTTAACTGGGTTGTTGTAGTTTTTTTTTTAGTGACCTCACTACCTCTGAGGATGCTTGCCATAGATGCAGGCGAAACGTCAGGAGAGAATGCCTCTAGAACATGGCCATATAGCCCGAAAAAACAAACAACAACCCAATGATCATTTAATTTATCGAAGAGTTATACTTTTTAAACAGTTTTAAACTATTTAATTTTACTAACTATGATGCCTGAGTGATTGACTGAAATCTTTTTAGGCCAAGTCATTTAATTTGTTTTAACTGTTTGTGTAAATGTTTAATTTTATGATTGTCCCCAGTATTGAGTGTTTACCTTCTTGTTTTTGGAAGCTGCCCTGAGTCCCTTTGAGGAGAGAGGGCAGGTTAAAAATAGAGATTATTATTATTATTATTATTATTATTATTATTATTATTATTATTATTACAAGGCTAACATTTAAGGCAGCAAAATGTATGTTGGTCAGCAATAATTAAAGTAAGATCAGCTGGCCAATGTTTAAGAAAAAATGGATAAAAAAGATTCTTCTCATTTATAAAGAAGGGGCCAAATGAATTTCCTATTCCAGAAGTATGAGGCCACTAACAAAATGACATTCTCTGTTTTGCTTGCCCATGTGACAGTTCCTGGTGGTGAGCAGGAGAAAGGCCTCTGTGGGTAAGCTCACATACTCAGTAACAGACCTAGGTTTTCCATTTTGCAATGTGTAAAACAGCTCGCAATAAAGGTATCTCTCTTTTTCACAATCCTGCTGCTATAAAAAGAATACAGCTGCCTAACTAAAGGCAACTGCATTCTTGTAAACAAGTGTGACACAGCATGAATGAGACAAAGCATCATAACAATCCTTACTGGTGACTTACCTTGAAGTAAATATTCCATCATGTTTATGGTCCCGCCAGTGACTGGCATCATGGTGACCGGAGGAGCCTCCATGGTGCAATCTTCCCTACAAGGAAAACAGAACCAATCAGAATGGGCTGTGGATTTATGGTCTCCCACAAAGCTATCTAGATAAAGATGGTCCAGGGTCCTGGACCATCTTAACAGCATCCACGCAAACATCCAATTCACCATGGAAAAAGAAAATGAAGGAAGAGTGCCTTTTCTAGATGTCCTAGTCATCCGCAAACCAGATCAACAATTGTGTCACACCGTTTACAGAAAACCCACACACACAGATAGATATATCTACATAAAAACTCCAACCATCACCCAAGTCAAAAAAGAAGCACCATTAAAGCCTTGGCAGACAGTGCAAAAAAAATCTGGGAACCCCACCTCCTCCAAGATGAACTGAACCACCTCAACTGAACCACGCTCTCCAGGCCAATGGAGACTCCACCTCAGACATCAGAAGAGCTGCAAGACTGAGAACAAGCCACGAGAGTCAAGACGAAGATCCACCCAGAAGAAAAGTGTTCTTGCCATACATCAAGGGAACCACTGACCGCATAGGGAAGCTGATGAGGAAACACAACATACAAACTATCTACAGACCCACCAAGAAAATCCAAAAAATGCTTCGTTCAGCAAAGGACAAGAGGGATCCTCTCACTTCTGCAGGAGTCTACCATATACCATGCAACTGTGGACAAGTCTACATAGGGACCACCAAATGCAGCAGAATTGCCCAAACACGAATCAAGGAACATGATAGGCACTGCAGACGACTTCAACCAGAGAAATCAGCCATAGCAGAGCACCTGAGGAACCAACCTGGACACAACATATTATCTGAGAACACAGAAATGCTGGACCACTCTAACAACCACCATGTCAGACTACACAGAGAAGCCATTGAAATACACAAGCATGTGGACAATTTCAACAGAAAGGAGGAGACCATGAAAATGAACAAAATCTGGCTACCAGTATTAAAAAACTCTAAAATTACAACAGCACAACAACAGAGAGGAAACAAACAAGGACATCTAATCATCTCTCAACAAAAGTTTGCTCTAGGCACTGTCAAGCCATTATATGCTAATCAAGGTGGCCAGTTGAAACATTCACACCTAGTTCCAGCAGACAAGAGTCCTTTGTCCCACCCTGGTCATTCCACAGATATATAAACCCTTCTTCCTAGTTCCAACAGACCTCACAACCTCTGAGGATGCTTGCCATAGATGCAGGCGAAATGTCAGGAGAGAATGCCTCTAGACCATGGCCATATAGCCCGAAAAAAAACCCTACAACAACCCAGTAATTCCGGCCATGAAAGCCTTCGACAATATATCGAGATAAAAATGTATATAATACAGAAAAGTACATAAAACAGTTTTGTTTGAATGGGTTTTCAAAATCATATCAGACAAATCATTTTGTAAGGATGCAGTTTTATATTGGCATAACAAAAAAGTTTTCTGATTTGGTACAGATGCATTTAAACTGAGCGCAAAGCCAATAAGAACGCTCTCAACGTCGTTATCATAGAATGGTTGATTTCTGTCTGGAATTCCTCTGTTTTCTGAATGTTGTTCTTTATTCACTGTTCTGATTTTAGAATTCTTTAATACTGGCAGCCTTATTTTGTTCATTTTCATGATTTCCTCCTTTCTGTTGAAATTGTCCACATGCTTCTTGTTTTATTATTTATTTACTTCGCTTATATACTGCAATTCTCAGCCCAGGGGCGACTCACTGCGGTGTACAACATAGAAAAACAGGTGCAAAATACAAGACATGGTGTAAAATAATCCACAATTCTTCATTATCAAAAAACATCCTCATCAAAAACATCAACATTACTACAAAAACCATTCCGTGTCGTCTCATCGTCAAACCCACAATCCAGTATCATTTTCCGATGTTCCATTCCTATGGTCAAATTACCAATCATTGCACTTCTTGTTCAAATGCCTTGTTAAACAGCCAGGTTTCTTGTGGATTTCAGAAAACAGAGGAATTCCAGTCTTGAATCAATCACGGCCAGCTCACACCTCCCAACAAAGGATTGGAAGTAAACAGCCAGATCTTGAAACGGAAAGGCTAATCAATGCTAATCACACAGTCAATAGTTCTTTCTTTGGGTTGTTGTAGGTTGTAGTTCTTTCTTTCTCCCACCCTGGGAAATATTCCATGGGAATATATATAAACCTCACTTGCCTAGTTTGCAACAGACCTCACAACCTCTGAGGATGCCGGCCATTGATGTCTGTGAAGTGTCAGGAGTGTTTCTGGAACATGGACAGACAGCCCGGAAAACCCAAAGCCGCCGCCACCACCACCACCACCACCACCACCACCACCACCACCACCACCATCATCATCATCATCATCATCATCATCATCATCATCATCATGCTATTGAGGTTTTTTGAGATTTCTATCCCCAGGCATTTTACCTTCTTTTCTCCCAATTTCACTCCCATAATATTTTGAACCTTCTTGAGTTTTTCCCAGGTGAGATTTTTATGTACTCAATTCACCAACGATAAACAAACATCATCAAGACCAAACACAATTCAGGTGAAAAGAAAGGAAAACCTTCTCTGTGGGTTTTGAAGCAGAGGTTGGGTGGCCATCTGTCCGGAGGGCTTGAATGGTGTTTTTCCTGCCTGAATAGGGCTGGGCTGGATGGCCTCTGGGGTCCCTCCCAACTGTAGGAATCTACAAAGCTGTATGCTTTTAAATAGATTCCAATTTTGGAGATAAGCAAACAAGAGTCAAGAGAGGGCTGCTTACCTTGGAGTAAAGGGGAGTAAAGGGGAAAGGCGACAAGGCATGAGAGACGCATGCGCACTTCTCTCCCCTTCTGTGCGCATGCGTCTCTTTCCCACTGTCCTATCGCAGAGCGGGCCTTGTAAGCAGTTTCGGACTTCAACTCCCAGAATTCCTGTCTGCGCCAGGAAATGGCCGGGGCACTTGGGAGTTGAAGTCCAAAACTGTTAAAGGCGCTTTCTGTTGTTACCTTGGTTATCTATCAGGCATGAGCAAACTTGGGCCCTCCAGGTGTTTAGGACTTCAACTCCCACAATTCCTAACAGTGGGAGTTGAAGTCCAAAACACCTGGAGGGCTTAAGTTTGCTCATGCCTCATATGGTGTTGTTGTACTACACTGCCATATAAAATCCAGATGATCTGCTTTAAACTGGATTATATGGCAGTGTAGACTCATATAATCCAGTTCAAAGCCAATAATGTGGATTATTCTGCAGTTTGATGTGGATTGTGGGTTTATATAGCTGTGGAATAATGTCCAGAGTGGGAGAAAGAACTCTTGTCTGTTGGAGGCAAGTGTGAATGTTGCCACTGGCCACCTTGATCAGGGCCAGCTAACACCTCCCAACAAAGAATTCCCCCAGGCAGGAAGCAGCCAGACTTTGAAGCGGCAAGGCCATTTAATGCTAATCAAGGTAGCCAATTGCAACATTCGCATTTATTACAATAGGAAAGGTAAAAGTTTCCCCTTGACATTAAGTCTAGTCGTGTCCAACTCTGCGGGGTGGTGCTCATCCCCATTTCTAAGCCGAAGAGCTGGCGTTGTCCGTAGACACCTCCATGGTCATGTGGCCATAGGCATGACTGCATGGTGCGGTGTTCCTTCCCTATTGATCTACTCACATTTGCCTGTTTTCAAACTGCTAGGTTGGCAGTAGCTGGGTCTAACAGCAGGTGCTCACGCAGCTCCCTGGATTCGAACCGCCAACTTTTCAGTCAGCAAGTTCAGCAGCTCAGCGGTTTAACCCACTGCGCCACTGGGAGCCTGTTTAATATATTGTATTACAACAGGTAAGTTGGGTTCTGGCCCAACTTACCTGTCCGAACGCATCTCCCCTTATGAACCATTTAGGACTTTCAGATCGTCTGGGGAGGCCCTGATCTTGGTCCCGCCTTTGTCACAAGTACGTCTGGCGGGGACGAGAGACAGGGCCTTCTTGGTGGTGGCCCCTTAGCTATGGAACGCCCTCCCTAGGGATATTAGATCGGCTTCTTCCCTGTTAGCATTTTGGAAAAAGCTCAAGACATGGTTTTTTGAGCAAGCTTTTGCAAATACAGAGTAGCGGATATAGGACAACGGAACAACCATATGATGGGACTGGACAATATTTTAATATGGATTTCTTAATGACTTATGTTTGATTGCTGTTGTTATGATTTTATGTATGTTAATGTTTTTAAATTGTACTTGTGCTTTGTGGCATTGAATTTTGCCTTGTAAACCGCCTCCAGTCACCTGAGGGCTGAGAGGGGCGGTATACAAATACAGTAAATAAATAAATAAATAAATAAATAATATATTATTATATTAAATTACAATGTTAATATTTCTATAATAAAAAACTTTGCCACTCTCTAAATGATCGATGAATCCCTATCCTCTAAAGCAGTGTTTCTCAGCCTGGGGGTTGGGACCCGTGGGGGGTGTCAGAGGGATCACCAAAGACCAACAGAAATCACAGAATTTTCATGGAGAAGTTTGGCCCAATTTTCTCATTGTTGGCGTTCAGAATGCTATTTGATTGTAGAGGAACTATAAATCCCAGCAACTACAACTCCCAAATGTCAAAGTCTATTTTCCCCAAACTCCACCAGTGTTCACCACATTTGGGCGTATCAGGTATTCGAGTCAAGTTTGGTCTAGATCCATCAGTGTGTCCAAGTGCTCTCTGGTTGTAGGTGAACTACAACACCCAAACTCAAGGTCAATGTCCACCAAACCCTTCCAGTTTTTTCTGTTGGTCATGGGAGTCCTTTGTGCCAGGTTTGGTTTGATTCCATCAGTGATGGAGTTCAGAATGCTCTTTGAGTGTAGGTGAACTATAAATCCCAGCAACTACAGCTCCCAAATGACAAAATCAATCCCCCGTCAACCCCACCAGTATTTGAATTTGAGCATATCAGGTATTTGTTCCAAATTTGGTCCAGTGAATGAGAATACATCCTGGGTAAAGGATTTCCCCTGACATTTGCATGTTTTCGAACTGCTAGGTTGGCAGAAGCTGGGACTGACAGTGGAAACTCACACTACTCTCCGGATTCGAACCTGCGACTTTCAGTCAACAAGCTCCGCTGCTCAGTGCTTTAACCCAGCGCGACACCGGGGGCGTCACATCCTGCATATCGGATATTTACATTATGATTCATAACAGTAGCAAAATTACAGTTATGAAGCAGCAACCAAAATAATTTTATGGTTGGGGGTCACCACAACCTGAGGAACTGTATTAAGGGGTCGGGACATTAGGAAGGTTGGGAAACACTTGTGCCATCACACCCAGACACTATAAAGTTAAAACTAAGATGTGCTTCTCTCTTTATTCAGGTGAACCGCGGATGCCTTACTTAGAAGCTCAAGATTCCCAGCAACCGAGGTCAGTCCAGATTTGAACATCAAACAGAACATTTATTTCTCAAAGTCCTTGACAAACTTGGCACAGCTTGAAGTTACAAACACAAACAGTCAACTTGTGAAACCATATAGATCAGTGATTCTCAACCTCCCTAATGCTGTGACCCCTTAATACAGTTCCTCATGTTGTGGCGACCCCCAGCCATAAAATTATTTTCGTTGTTACTTCATAACTGTAATTTTGCTACTATTACTAATAGTAATGTAAATTTAAGATACCCAGGATGTATTTTCATTCACTGGAACAAATTTGGCACAAATACCTGATATGCCCAAATTGGAATACTGGTGGGGTTGGGGGGGGGGGGGGGGGGGGGGGGGGGGGTGATTTTGTCATTTGGGAGTTGTAGTTGCTGGGATTTATAGTTCACCTAGCTTGTGCAGGATGTATTTTCAGTCACTGGACCAAATTTGGCACAATTACCCAATACTCCCAAATTTGAATATTGGTGAGGTTGGGGGTGATTGATTTGGTCATTTGGTAATGCTGGAGTTGCTGGGATTTATAGTTCACCTACAATCAAAGAACTTTCTGAACTCCACCAATGATGGAATTGAACTATACTTGGCACACAGAACTCCCACGACCAACAGAAAATACTGGAAGGGTTTGGTGGGCATTGACCTTACGTTTGGGAGTTGTAGTTCACCTACATCCAGAGAGCACTGTGGACTCACACAATTACGGATCAGGACCAAACTTGGCACGAATACTCAATATGCCCAAATGTGAACACTGGTGGAGTTTGGGGAAAATAGACTTTGACATTTGGGAGTTGTAGCTGCTGGGATTTATAGTTCACCTACAATCAAAGAACTTTCTGAACTCCATTAACGATGGAATTGAACTATACTTGGCACACAGAACTCCCATGACCAACAGAAAATACTGGAAGGGTTTGGTGGGCATTGACCTTACGTTTGGGAGTTGTAGTTCACCTACATCCAGAGAGCACTGTGGACTCACACAATAACGGATCAGGACCAAACTTGGCACGAATACTCAATATGCCCAAATGTGATCACTGGTGGAGTTTGGGGAAAATAGACTTTGACATTTGGGAGTTGTAGCTGCTGGGATTTATAATCAAAGAGCATTCCGAATCCTACCAATGATAGAATTGAACCAAACTTCCCACACAGAACCCCCATGATCAACAGAAAATACTATATTTTCTGATGGTCTTCGGAGGCCCCTCTGACACCCCCTCGCGACCCCCACAGGGGTCCCGACCCCCCAGGTTGAGAAACACATATAGATGTTCTTTCCTTCTCTTTTCCTTCAGCTGCTGAGTTAACTTTCCCCCAACGGTAGAAAAATCCTGGGATCTTTTACCCTAACCCTGAGCTGCTATCTTTTAGAAAGAGCAGGTCTTCCCCTATCCAAGCTCAAGGTTAGTTTGGGGATGAAGTAATGGAGCCTCTCCCAATGGCAGAGAAATCCGGAGATATTCCCTGCCCCAGCACTGAGCTGCTATCCTTTAGAAAGAGCAGGTCTTTCTCTATCTGAGCTCAGGACCAGTTTCAAAGGCAAGAGGGTAACCGTACCCACAATGGCCTGTCCGAGCTGCCTAGCTTGGCCACCAGCACATCTGAGGCTTTTTCTATATTGAAGAAGGAAGGAGAGCTTCTCCAAAATGGAGATCTCATCCTCAGGAAAAAGGGCGGTCTATGGACCAAAGAGATACTTTTTTAAGCCAATAGCTTCAAAAGGCTTGCAGGCTGGCTTCCAGTTTGACTATGAGGGTGCTGCTAAGACTGTAGCAACCCTGGGGGAAATGCAAAGGGATGCTATTTTATGCAACTAAGGGGCAATGGAAACCAAGTTCCTGGAAGACAGAACAACACTGCTCTATAAGATGTTTTATAGAAATGACATTGTGAAAGGACATCATGCCTGGCAGTTTCCACTCTCTCCATACTGCTTGGACAAACGTGCTCATGGTAGGAGATACCTGTCAGTTTCTGTACTGATTCAAGGAGATGACGAGGTGTGGGCTTTTGAATCATCACATTCCCAAAAGACTGCAAAAGCAATTGCAAATAGCTGACTCAGAACAGCTGCTTATTTCCTTGTGATGTAACTTGCGCGATTTCACCGAAAAGCTCATTTTGCACATACCCATATTGACTCGCCATCAAATCTATTGTGCACCTCAATGTTCAAAACCCTAAAACCAAAAACAGTATTTGCTGGTGAATGGAGTGGGCAGCAGCACAAGGTGTGCTCTTTGTAATATTTGTTGTTTGTTGTGTTGCTGAAGGTTTTCATGGCTACGTCTCAAAAGGTTGTATACCATGCATGATAAGAAAACCCGCAGCCCCC